AAGCACTGTGTTAAGCATTTTGTAACTTATGAACTCATTTAATAGGAAGACACCACAAAGAGTTTGGGGTACTCTCATTTCCCTCATTTCATAGGTCAGGAAACTGAGATGCAGACAGATTGAGTAACTTGTCTAATAAGTAACAGAACTGAGATTGAAGCCTGCAAGACTGATTGTAAAGCCCGTGCTTTTAACTACTAACATATGGGACCTCCATGTGTGGGTAGATATGTCTAGTATACATGCACATTCGTATGTATGAGTACATAGAGAATGAGAAAGACAAGAAAGATGATTAGGTCTAAACCTTGACAGATGAAATTCATGGTTATCTAGTTGGAACTTTTCTGAATTTTTTTTGTGCTATGAGCCCTTTTGGCAATCTGGTGAACTTCATGGACCCCTTCTCAGAAATATATATTTTAAGAGCTTAAATATAATATAATAAGAATCCAAAGAAAATCAACTGTATTGAAATACAGTTATCAAAGTATTTTCAAATTATGATGTAGCAATATACTTGCAGTCATTTTTTTAACGCAGTAAATAGCAAGATCTAGTGGCAGATCTAACAACTATGATAATTTCAAAGTAGCAATGAGTGTAAATGATATTTAAGATACCTCAACAATGATAATGAGATGTGCAAAAATATTTTCTAAAATCTCAAGTACCCTCAAAATATAATATGTCCCATGTTATTATTATTATTCTCATTTTAAATTAGGACACTGAGACTCAGAAGTTAAGCAGTTTAGTTGCATAGTTAATAACTGCAAGGTTGAAACTCAAACCAAGTCATTGGATTATGAATCCTATCTTCTTTCCATTGTTCACGTGTTGCCTCTATTACAATAAGCAGATATTTTTAAATGACCACAGATGATGGTGACAATATGAAAGGTGTGAAGAAGTAGATGAAAACAGATAAATGCATCTTTGATGCCACACAAAGGTAACATTTTAGAACAGACAAATAAGATATCAGTAGAGAATGCTGGATTTACTTGTGTTGGACAGTATGGCACCATAGCTATTGTGTAGAGTGTCACAACTGTCACTACAAGTGACAGTTATTCCTCTAACTGCTAGAGCTGGAGCTCTGGTTTCTACACATACATACAGACTCTTCTGCTTCAACTAGCCTTAAAATAACCGAATGCAGCAGAGCAATCATGGTTCCACCTCAGCTTTCTGATCTATGTTCAGACTGAGCACAAGCAGAATGCCAACCCCCGTTGGTCATGGATTAGAGGCTACCTCCACAGTTGCCAGAACAATTAAAACAACACAGCACACTAGCCAGCTGCATCCTATATTAGCTGTTCCTGGCAGGAATGCAAATTTAAATGCACTGCCATCCAGTGAATATTAGTTTACATCATAAGCCCCACATGTGTATAACATGTTGCAGTTACCAGACACAAACGATAAATCATTTAATTCATTCATCAAAATAAGCTATGGTGGAGACTGGACAGGTATTGGCTGAATGTTGTTAACTGAGGAAATGAAGGAAGGGAGTAGGGTAGCTAGATAAAGAAGCAGGCCTTTCTCAGTTACTCTCGTTCAGGAAGCTCAGAACTTAATGGGACACTCACCACTCAGAAACTAGCCATAGAACCACTATCCCCCTAAAAGCAACTCAAAACAGGACCCAGGTGAGAGTAAGTGCTGCTTTTTCTAATTATGACTAGGGGATACATGCTTCCAGCTACCTCAGATGCAGAAATTTTCCTTATAGGCACAACATACTGGATGGTGGTGACATAACCCAATTAAATCTGTTGGAAAGTATAAATACCCGTTACACAAAAGCAAAGTATGTCAGGGATTGAAGAGAAGGCTTGAAGTTTCCCTGTATCTTACAGCCGACTTGGTAAGAGTGGAGCAACCAGTGTCTTGGGAGGTAGAGTGACCTATTATCCCTGTGGTTCTGACTCCACTTTGGCCCTGAGAAACCTAATCAGTTAGGATTGTCCCAATGTGTGATGATTGCCTCCATTTATCACATTTGTTCTTGTGACCACAGGTCCTAAATCCTCTCCTTTACTCAAGCTTCCAAGGAAGAATCTCACTGGATTTAACATTTCTTAAATGTTTTTAATGGTCCATTTTAATGTGTATGTAGCGGAGTGTTTTGTAACAGCTTTATTGAGATTCACCATACCAACATACCATACAATTCACCAATTTAAAGTGTGCAATTTAGTAGTTTTTGTATATTCACAGAGTTGTGTTGTACAAACATCAGCATAATTGATTTTATTTCATTAGCCCCCAAAAAAACCCTGTACCCTTTAGCTATGACCCCTCAAACACTCCTCTTTTCTCCCTACCCCTGACCCTATGCAAGCACTAGATATAAAATTCTGGGTTGACAGTTCTTCCCCCTCCCAGCAACACTTGAAAAATGTTGTGCTATTGCCTTATGGCCTCCATAGTTTCTTATGAGAAATACACTGTAATTTGAATTTAGTTTCTAGAAATTTGATTTTGATTGACTCAGTATGGATTTCTTTGGGTTTATTTTGTTTGAGCTTTGTTCAACTTCTTAAATTTGTAGGTTTGTGTCTTTCACCAAATGTGGGACATTTCTAACCATTATTCCTTCAAATATGTTTTCAGCCCTTCATTCTTTTTCCTCTCTTTCTGGGACTCTGACGATATAAATGGTAGAAACTTTGTTATTATCCCACAGAGCCCTGAGACTCTGTTGATTCTTTTTGTTTCTATCTTTTCTATCTGTTGTTCAGACTGAATAATTTCTATTGGTCTGTCATCAAGTTCAGTGATTCTTTCCTCTGTCATTTCCATTACACTATTGTGCCTATTAGGTGAGATTTTTATTTTGGTTATTTTATTTGGTTTTTTCCTTTTTTTTTTTTTTTTTTTTTTTTTTGACTGCATTGGGTCTTTTGCTGTGTGCAGGCTTAGTTACAGCAAGTGGGGGCTACTCTTCATTGCGGTGCACGGGCTTCTTATTGCAGTGGCTTCTCTTGTTGTGGAGCACGGGCTCTGGGCATGTGAGTTTCAGTAGTTGTGGTGCACAGGCTCAGTAGTTGCAGTGTTCAGGCTCCGTAGTTGTGGCTCACGGGCTCTAGAGCACAGGCTCAGTAGTTGTGGCATATGGGCTTAGTTGTTCCGCATCATGTGGGATCTTCCCGGACCAGGGCTTGAACCTGTGTCTCCTGCATTGGCAGGCAGATTCTTAACCACTGTGCTACCAGGGAAGTCTGGTTTTTACTTATTTTTAAACATTTATTATTCTAAATTTTTCACTGGGTTCATCTTTATATTTTCTCTCTTTGCTGAGACTTTGGATTTTTCCATTTGTTTCAAGAGCATTCATAGTTGCTCGTCAGAGCATTTTTATGACCATTGCTTTAAAATCTTTGTCAGATAATTCTAATATCTGTATCATCACAGTTTTGGTGCCTGCTGATTGTGTTTTCTTGTTTAATATTTTCCTGGTGTTTGGTTTGTCTAGTAATTTTGGATTATATCTTGGACACTTTGTGTATTATCTTATGAGACTCTGGATCCTACTTTAAACCTCCTATTTTAGTACACTGACAATCTGTTTAGGTTTAGAATGAACATTTTGGTCCAATTTTGTAGACTGTGGTTCAAATGTCAAGTTAGCTTTGAGAGCTCTTGTGAGTTATTTTCTGGTCTGCCCCATTTTTGTGCTACCCAGGCCAATTTAGAACCTAGGAAGTATCCCACCAAGAGTACCATTCTCAAAGCTTTTGCTATTTTGACTCTGGTCAGTTTCACATATGGGCTGCTCAGTTATCCATGGCATCATGCACTGATTTAAAGAATTGCTTTCTCTAGCTTCCTCCTCTCCATAACCTTTCCCCACTCTCTAGTTGGGAAGGGGTAAGATACCACCTTGTTGCCATCCTTTGCCTAATTCAGGGCACAATGCTTCATAGGGCTCCTCCCCACAGTCTCTGCAATATCCATTGGAGAGGAAAAGAGGTACAATTTGTTTGGTTGTATGTGCTTTTTTTTTTTTTTTTTGCAGTACGTGGGCCTCTCACTGTTGTGGCCTCTCCCGTTTGCGGAGCACAGGCTCCAGACGCGCAGGCTCAACGGCCATGGCTCACAGGCCCAGCCGCTCCGTGGCATGTGGGATCTTCCCGGACTGGGGCACAAACCCGTGTCCCAGGCATCGTCAGGCAGACTCTCAACCACTGCACCACCAGGGAAGCCCTGTCGTATGTGCTTTGAGTAGCAGAAGTATAGTCAAAAGAGTTCACTCCTGCAGAGCTACTCCCTTCCCAATATTTTGACTGGAGAGGGCAGGCTTCTTGGGGAATTTTGTGTATGTGCCCACTGCTATTTCTGATGAGCTACTTTAGCACCCAGGCTGGCTTTATATAGGAGGCAAAAAATAAATAAATAAATCAGGGAACTCAATAGCAGGTTGTTCCTGAAGTTTCATAGTTCCCTAACCAATTTGCCTTCTTTTCGCCACCTTTCATTTATTTTGCCTGGGGTGTTTAGTTTTAAGTAGCAGGAGGATCATGATAGTATGCATTTGCTCCATATTGTCTAAAACAGGAAGCCAACCATGATTCATTTTTGTAGATCTCAAAAACGTACCACAATGCCTAGTGTATGATCTACACTAAGTATTTTTTCACAAAAGGAGTAAGGGAGGAAAAAAATAACCTCACATCTCAAAATGTTATTTAGTATGACAGAGTTGTTAAGAACATACCCTTTAAAGTCAACAATCAATTTGAATTTTAGCTTCACCACCTACTGTTATTGTAATGTGTACAAGTTACCTAACTTCTCTAAGTCTCAGTTTCCTATACTATAGGGACAGTAATATCTATCTCATAGGGTGAGTAAAAATGAGATAATATATTTAATGCATTTACCACAGTACTTGATAAGAAACAGCTAGTAAATATAGTTCATAGTTATATTAGTAATAAAAACAATAATTATCAAATATCACTATCTGTTTCTTATCCTCCTAGGAAATTCTGCCGTTAAAGACAAAGAAGATCAATTTGGGAGAACACCACTTATGTATTGTGTGTTGGCTGACAGACTGGATTGTGCGGATACTCTCCTGAAGGCAGGAGCAGATGTTAATAAAACTGACCATAGCCAGAGAACAGCCCTCCATCTTGCAGCTCAAAAGGTGAGAAGTAAAACTACCGTGAAGAGTAAACCTTTTCTGTGGTATTTGTTAATTGATTAATGGAACTGTGAGATGGACAGATGGTAAAGAAATCACAGGCATATAACTCGTAGTTTCATATGTTTTCTCTAAAAGCTGTAATCTTTAAACTGCAGAGAGTAAGCACAGATAACCATCAGTGGCTGCTTTCACTTATCCAAGTTCCTCCAGCGATGAAATTTATTTTCTGATCTAAAGTTAAGTTGGGAAAAAGAAAATAAAATTAAAATGGAAAAAGGAAATAAAAATAAAATGGAAAATAAATAAAATAAGTTAAGTTAAGTTGGGAAAAAGGAAATAAAAATAAAATGGAAAAAGGAAATAAAAATAAAATGTATTAATATGATTAAACTATATTACAAATCAATTTATGCATGAGAAAAGGCAAAGAAAAAAAGAAAACCACCACACACTAAATTGTCAATAGTGGTTGGATTTGGGAATTCGCTGGCGATCCAGTGGCTAGGACTCCACGCTTCCATTGCAGGGGGCATGGGTTCGATCCCTGGTTGGGGAACTAAGGTCCTGCAAGCTGTGCGGTACGGCCAAAATATATATATATGAAATGTATATATATCTCAGTAGTGGTTGAGTTTAAATATTGGGAAGATATATGAATTTTGGTACTTTTCATTGTTTAAAATGTTTTCCTTAATGCATGTTACTTTTACAATAAAAAGTTGTAGTTGCCCATAAACTATGTGGCATTAGGGAGCATAAAAGAAATTTATTTTCTGAAATGTATTTTCAAATTTTTAAAAATCTAAATCTATATTTCTAGTATAAATGATTTCAAGTTTTTAAAGGCTTGTTAAGAGCTCAGTTTTTTAGGATTAAACATATCAAAAAACAACAAAATGGGAAGCTTCTAAATTTATTTGAACTTATTTATCTGAAAATGATTTTTCTCACCATAAAATTTTGGTCTATAAAATATAGTTCCAGTGCCTGATATTTTTCTCTTTGTTATTTTAGACTTATGTATTTTGAGAATAAAAAGCAATGAAAATTAGTTAGATCCAGCAGAAACTATTAGAGTTATTTCCCATTAAAAAATGTGAACCAGATATAGCTGATTAATTGAGGGGTTAGAAAAATACCTTTTCATTAGTTGAAAGCATAAAAAGAGACTGACATTAAGATATACTTCTGAATATGCTAGTTATATGCTCTTATCAGTTAGGTCTGTCAGGTTATTTCCAAAGTTATTGCTCTTGAATTTGCTTTTCATTACAGTAATTTTTTAAAAAATCTCTCATTTTCAATCTCAGTTTTAACTACTGCTCAGGTATTTAAACCTTTCACCTAGGCTTGTCAGCTGTTAAAATTATTTACTAAGGAAGTGTAACTCTATTTAACTTGTTATCATAAAAAAGTAAACATTTCAGATTGGGAATAGCCCCACTACTAAGAATTTGACACACTTTAGATTTTTTCATTGTGATTCACTTAGGTTTAAAACTCAACTTTAAAAATGTAAGTTGGGGGAAACTAACTGCACATCAAGTGGATCATGTGAGGAAAGAAAAAGAATTTAAGTTGATGATCCAACAGTATGACATTTTTGTAGAGGTATAATGTGAAAAAGGTTGAGAGAAGGGGAGAGCACAACCAGACATGTGAGCTGCTAAGTCTCTCTGTGAGATGCAGTGCATTGCTTCTGTTTGCTTTTTGTTTCTCCTTTATTTTTTTAAGCAGTGATTTCTTTAGTGTCAAAGAATAAATAGAACTGTGATTTACGTGTCACAGTTTACATAGCTGATTTCATAAGTAACAAGTTTCATGTTCTTTCAACTATCTGATAATTATGAGTTTCCCCATCTCTGTGTTCCTGTTTGTATTTGCATGTTTGCCAAAAGCCGTAATATACCTTTAAGCTATACTAGCAGTAGAATTTCTAGAACAAGGGTGATAATCATTCTTTAATACTCCGCTCTGTCCAGATCAAACCTGGGTATTGTGTTTGGTTTTGTGCTTCATGCAAAAGCACCATGATTAAGAAATCAGAGGTAGTATACTTCAGGCAGGGATAAGATGGTGGACGACCTAGAAATAATTTTCAAAAATAGTTGGAGATGATATGTCCCAGCTCTGTAGCCCACCCTGCCTCTAAGCAGACACAAACACAAATTCTCTTAGAAAAAATATCTTCACCTTTAACTTCCAGGATTCCCCCATATTAAAACAGACCAAACATGATCTCACAGTGAAAGATCACCAAACACATGAGCAATCAATCTACCATGAAGGAGAGTCAGCTGAAACAATAAACAGATTTCTATCAAAAACATCAGATATTGGCACCATTAGAAACACAATATAAATTAACCATTGATGGAACATTTAAAGATATAAAAGAAGAAATCACAAAAAGGAGCAGCCAACCCGAGACTTTCATGACTAGGCATAAGTTCTCACCATGACCACCTATTTTAGAACAGCTCATCTGCCAAACACATCTGAAAACTGAACAAAACATATTGTTTGAAGGCGCTGGGAGCAGTCAGCATAGGCAGGATGATTCAGAGAAGGGAAAGCACATGAAATTAGCTCCGCATTTATCCTGGCTTTTTCCTTCAAGGCATTTTCTAAATTGGAAAGCAAAAGAATACAACCCTAGCAGGAAGCAGGATTCTTAGTCAGCTGGGGAAACCCAGGTGTAGTTTGGTGTTAGCAGTAGCTGGAACTTGAAGGGCAAACTCCTGAAGAGAAGGAAGCCAAAAACCTGAGTACAGATTCCTCGCAAGTCATTAGCAGTTGCCTAAACTCTGCTTGTATAGGGTGAGGCTCTAAGAAACCTAGCAGTAAACAACAGCTGGTAGACTAAACAGAGCTAAGCAGAGATTGTTTTTACGTTATCCTATATTTTCTTTTCTACTTATATCTTTTAATACATAACAAATTGATTTTTGTGTAGGGATCCATTCTCATTTTAAAACATATGAATAACTAATTTTCCCAGGACAACCTAGCTCATTAATGTTTAGCTGTTTAGTATCTGCTGTGTGCCAGTGCCAGACTTTTGTACTATGCACTTCCTATGTCTTTTTTTTAATTACATTTTTTAAATGAAGGGTCCTGAATTCTAGGGAGCTGCTTAGGAAATTTAAGAATGGAAGTTACATGATCAAATTATTTTAGGGAGACAAATATGGCAACTAAAGCTACTTTGGAAGAGGACAAGAATGGAGGTACATAGAAATCTATTACAGTTCAGGCCAATGGAGAGGAACAGTTGGATCCAATAGATACATTGTGGAGGTAGAACTGTTCATTCAATAAGTAGTTGCCAAGTGTCTATTGTGTATCATGATTATACATCTAGAGAGAATATTAAAAAATGAATCATATGTCTGCTATAAATAAGTACTGTCAGTACCGATCCCTATTAAACTTCACATCCCTTTGTTTAGTGAACCTCTCTGATATTTTGGATATCAAATATTCTTGTAAAGTATTGTCTATCGCACTTAATTCTGTTGTCTGTGAACTCAGAAGTGTGCTATTTATGTAACATCAATATTCATGTATACGTGCATGCATGCATTCATTCAACATATGTTAAAACTGTTACTGTGCAACAGGCACTGTGCTAGGTCTTGGAATGCAAAGATGAAAGACATGATTCCTACTCTTAAGTTGCTTACAAAGACCATAGATAAAGATATTAAGTGATAATTAAAGTTGGTCTATCTACTGTAAGGTATGTATACCTATGTGTGATATTAATATACCTAAGTGTTTTATAAAATATCAACAGCCATAACATGTAAACAGCATTGTTATTATTACTGACCCAAAGATCAACCATTCTCATATATTATTTATTATGGTTTTGTGTTTTTTGTGATAGTGAACTATATTATGCCATCTTAGATTGATTAGTAAGAAAAATTCACGTTCGCGTAGCATTTTGTCTGTGTTTCTACTAGAGCCCCACTATCTTGTATGTACTTGCCTCTTTCCCACTACATTGGAGCTCCAGGAGGACACTTGTTTTATTTATTTTTGAATCCCCCAGAATCTAACACAGTGTCTGATATGTCTTCGTTGAACAAATGAATACATTTTATGTTACTTATATAGAAAGTCATTATGAATACAAATGCTAGACATTTTGTTTATTAGAAACATTTATCCAGTTTCAAAATACATATATAGGAAAAACTTACTGAACTGTGTTGATTGACTTAGTTATTTTGACACATATTCACTTTTCTGGAAACAAATTGCTGTTAGTCCAAGCAGCTAAGGAAATGATACCCATGAGATTAAAATTAATCTCAATATACTGAACATCTGTACCTAATTTGTTTTTCATTTAGTACCCTCAGTTTAATCTAAGAAAGCAATCAGTCATGCCTTTTCTGGGTTTCTCACAAAAGATATCTAATTGCTAGAAATGTTTTGCTCCTGGGAAGCTACTATTTCTCTGACTTCCACAGATACATTTATTTGTTGATAAGGATAAAAAAAAAAAAAAGCTTTAGCAATCTCACTAAATTTTAATAGTTACGCATTTTTAATCTTCCAGGAAGTTATTAATTTGGCTTCAAGAAGATTGACTACCCACTTTGAAAAAATATATCATGTTAAACACAAAAATTAAAGAAGCTTCAGGTTGTGGTTGGGTTGTTTTTTCTTTTTTGGTTTACAGAGAGAATTCTCATTCATCTATGAAAATTAAATATTAATTTTCAGTTTTAAAAATATGTTGTTTCCATGTTAATGACTTATAAAAAGTAAAGGAGAAGAGTAGAATACCTCCGAAACTTTTCTGGAAAACTTAATACCACCTAACAGTATTTGGTTTCCTTATCTTACACGTACTCAACACTTAAACACCAAACAACCCCTACCCGGTCCCCTTCAACTCTGTATTCCATTATTCCTCCTCAGTACGTATACCTAACAATTAACCATGGATTTCACTTATGTATATTTCACACCCTCTATTGCTG